GATATCCAATTCAATAAAATTATACGACCCACATACATGTACATCGTCTAATAGAACGAACAAAATCCGTTTTCTTCGATCGGAGAATTACCTTAGAAATAATTATTTTTAATCTGAAATATTAAGTCTTGCATATATTTAGTTACAGAAATATCAACTTTCGGGTTTTTTTTCTTCAAAGTCTATGAAATAATATTGATAATTCTTTGAAATCTTAAATAAGTATTAAGCCGTATTTCGTTTTGAAAATATTGATTCCTAAATATTTTGAACTATTTTGAGTGAAGAAACGTGCGTTTGCGTTAACAATCGTGTAAGATCGTGTAACGTGTAGAATCGTGAACGTGAAAGATCGTTAGTGTAACAGCTTTAATCGTGCGGAATCGTTCGTGTAACGTGATCGTTCGTGTACGTTGTCAACAATAACGTTCCAGCGTGTACCTTAAGTTAAAACTTTGAATGAAAATTTAATATACCGTCATAAAAACGTTATAATTTTGATTTACTTTTGTGAAAACTTGTGAATATTAATACAGCCATGGAATTATGTTTAAGATCCCATTCTTGACATTATGTGATATTTCATGATCGACATTCATAAAAATTTCAGAGATCATAAACTAGATCCCTCAGCTTAAAAAGCTAGGACAATAGATAGCCAACATTTATTCAAATGTATTTAATTTTAAGGCAGAGGTATTGTAAGTTTTTTTTTCTTATAGAGAAAGGAAAGTAATATACTATAAAATGACATTTATGTCATCTAGAACCGAAGTATATGTAATTTTACTTGTTTTTTTTTTTTCCTTTTTTTACATTTTGGTTATTCCTTAGTAACGTTTCTGACTTTGCTTTTCCATTTCTCTGAATTTTTAGAAGACCTTCCCAGCCAGTTATGTACTGTGGAATGAACAATGTTATTTAGTGACAATATTTGTGGATTTCTAATGTTACTTTTATCCGCGATTTTACACCCCAAAAAACATTTTTTTCTACAAATTTATACTTTCTATCTTCCGTATACATGTACAAGAAATAACGTCCTATCAAACAAATTAAATTTTGTCTTACCACGAACATTGTCCCCTGCGAATTAAAAGTTCACTCTATGCTTTTTATTATAATGAGATTGATATTAAGTAAATCAAAAGATTTTTGTCCAAATAAATGTTACATATTGATAAAAAAATATTTCAAAGATATCTTATTGTAGGAAAATATAGCTTTAAAGAAAATTGAATAATTTTTTTATTTAATCCGATTAAATCATTCTGTAACATAGACCAAATAAACGGTGTCTCAACACAACATTAATGAGCAATATTGTTTAACTAAGCACTGTTTTGAACATATTTTATTGACAAACATGTCAAAGGCATTACCTATGGTTTATTGCCAAATTGAATCTTGATCTTTAACAGAAAAAAACCGGATGAATGGAACTAAACAGGCATGGTGCACGTTGGTTGAAAGGGGGTAAAGAAGAGCATTTTATGGATTACGTATGGGATGTTTTCTTTTTAAATAAGTTTTGTCTTCTTAACCAATTACAAATGACTGGTAAAAATTATCGTCATTCAAAAAGCACACCTTAAAGAAGGGGCGACGTCTTCACAAATATTCTACGTGTATTGTCTATAGATACAGGTCAAAATGTATTTTTAGAAAATTATAACACAAACGTATACAGAAATCATGATTAAATGGGAGTAACAGGGTTGGACAATTTTGCTTCATTATAAGCCTGATTCGTTTTAACCTTGTAGTTTACAATATATTTCAAAGTCACGGGGACAAAAATTCCATCACAGTAATACTGTAATCCAACTATTATTCGTGTCATCTTTTATTTGCGTTTCGTCAGTTTAAAATCAATCCGCGGCGATTAATTTTCACGAATAATGAAACATTTTCTACAAAAACACAGCAAAATAAATTATTTGCAGCGATTAATATTCGCAACTTAAAGTAGGTCGCGAAACTCGCTTATATTTGTCGCACGCGAATAAAAATTGGTTTACAGTAATCGATTCATTATAAGCGCGTTCATTATAAGCGCGTTTACTGTTACATGTAGTCATATACACATAAAACTATGAACCATATATACATGTATAGAGTTGATTATTACCGTGTTTATTAGCGTGGGCAAGTGAGATCTTAGATCTTTTCCACTGTAGAAATAAGAATAAAACTTGCATATAAGTGCATATATATACATTTGTGGTATCTTTCCGTTATGTAAACATCCAGAGAGAAAATATCTTCAATTCTGTATGAAGTTTGTCAGAGGCCATTACATGGCCAAGGAAGGATATGGAGATAAAATACAGTATTCATTACAGTATTCATTTTCAAAGTCCATAAAACAATACAAAACAAGAGCAGAGCAAACACGGACCCCCGAAACATCAGAGGTAGAATCAGGTGCCATGAAGGATTGAGCATCCCCTGCCGACCGGTCACACCTGCCGTGTGCTCATTTTTATGATCGTGAAATAACGGGAAAATCCGTCTTCAATTCACTGTATAAATAATGGACTAACAATTGGTATGAAAACGTCAGTCAGCATTTGACTCAATGATAAATTGTATTTGCTGACAAGGTCATTGTATCGACCATAGAACTTACGAAATGATGACTTTAAACGAGACTGCTGATATTCTTGTTTCATCAACTTGCTTGCTTTACCTCGTTTTAGAAATTGTTCATACGTAGAGCAAGCTCTTGCTTATCGAATCAACAAATTATACGGGGCAATAATATCTACCGCTACTTAAAAATATAAAATGACTTGCTTTTCATGTATAAAAATGAACAAAATAAGCAAGTGAAATAATTGTTTTATTTATAACGTGAACAAGTACTTCATACATTTTTTGGCGATTGTTTTAATCTTAACATAGACAATATACCGATAGAAACTAGCCTTTGTTTACAAGTTGTATGTCACTTTTCTCAGCTGCACAGTCTCTAACATTTTAGTTTATGCTTATTTTTGTCAGACTTTAAGTTAAATCTTCATGATAAAGGCTAAAAACTATATTCTTTCATTAAATTCTACTCACGATAAATGTGTTAATCTGTTGGAAAATATTATTCAAAGCATTGAATTCACGCTACGAACAGCTGAGAAACACCTCGATCGGCGTTGTCGTACTTCAGTGTAAATTGTCGCCAGTGTCTCATTGTTAACATCATGAATATGCCTTTAGTTACTGAAATCGTAGATTAAATGTTTTTGATCATATTAATACTTGATTGCAAATTAACTGGCTCGGACAAGTGTCCCAATCCATCGGATCCATCCATACCTTTCAGGCGACCGAAATTCCTCCAACTTTTTATCATCAAACTTCGGGGTTGTCTCTTGTGTCTTTTCAGCATAAATGATCAATTTTCACAAATAAAAATATTCCCATACAAGAATCTGTTCACTATTACTGATCACAAGTAGCCTTTAACAAAAAATTCCCTTAGAAATATAATTCCCAGCCTGACGAATTCGAAGAGTAACCGCCTTTCAAACCGATTTACACCTTGCGTACTTTCAACGGAAATCTACGGCGACCTGTTAGTGCAATATTTATATCAGAATATATTTAATTTAAAATATAATTGTTCATCTCAAATGTATATATAAGTAATAAATAACAAGTTTATAAACTTCAATTGGAATTGAAGTGGGTCGGTCACGTGATCAAATCCTGTGAAGGCCGAAGGCATTGAAGTTTATTAACTTGTTATTTATTTCTTAAGTATATTATTTATTTTATTTATTCTTTTTTCAAAGGAAGATGATGTGCAATATGAAGAGGTAAAAGAATTCTCAATTAGCTTTCAGTATAAAATCTCTTTGACTATCAACAAATTATTTCATATCCTTTTTAACTTCACTAAACATTAATAATTTATTATTGATACATGTAATAAAGCTTTGGAGTCAGTCGGCAGAAACAAAGAATGGAAAGCAAATTAGCATACAGCATCCTTACAAGTCACGGAGATCTTTGAAGTTTGTTTTGGTGGTTCTTCTAGTCATCGTTCTCGCAGGCGGACTTGCCATAACAAGTGCGTTATACGGTCTCGAGAAAAGTAAAACGAAAGGTAATTCCGGCTGGTCTCTCTATACCATATAAATGTCAGACATGTTCCTCAGTGATGTTTTTTTCCGAAAAAAAATTGCCACTGAAGAATAGCAACCTTAACAAGAATCCTTATAAAAACAAAGTGTAAACTTTAAAAGGCTTTTGTGAAAAATATCAAGATAATTTTTTTTACCCTATTGGCTATCACTGACGTTGCCAATAGGACATTGATAGTGTCCTTGTCTACTTATAAATTTTTCAATTAGTTTAAAATTTCACAATAGTAATAAATACATGTGTATGCTTAATTTGTTGTATATTATTAGCAGATAAAAAGCATGTAATGTTATTTACATATATACTGTAGGTCCTTAAACCAGGAATGCTTCAAGTGAAATCAAATAATACGAAACGGTTCTAAAATGTTGATTCATGTTATCTAAAAATATGAACAATTGAGTTGATATTGCGCTTAATTAAGAATCATCTTCATTATATAGTTTAATTTTTCTAGAAGACCAAGTACTTGAAATTCATGATAATATTCAGATAACCACTTTGATGTGCATTAATATATATATATGGTTAAATTTTCAGCCCTGGGTGTTATAATAACGCCATATTATGGAGCATATTTCTTTTGATCAGTACAAGTACTCCAGTATATAGAAGTTAACAAACTTTTTAATTATATGGATCCCCTGAAGAGTGGGTAAATGGAGAGTTGTTGACCTTGAGAAATTTGTAAAATGATCCCACTTAGATCTGCAATTTCTAAAAGCACTTTTGAATGATTATCATTAAGAATTTTCCAAATCACCCTGTATAAGATAAAGACCAAATTGAAAACAAAAATTGACAACATAAAACCAAATAGATTTTTTTAAGAATGAAATATACGTTTGAACATGATGACTCATCCTAGTATTTATTGTTTTGGAGATTTTAATTTGAATATCAGGGACCTGAATCCGGTAGATTCCTGATCAAATGACTATGAGTTTATTTTAGATTACCGGTAATAATTCAATGAACCATGAAGTTATGCATTCACATTCCTGGTTTATATTTTAATAGAATTTTCAGACATGTCATAAATATTGCGCATTCATGATTAGAGTATCAATAACGTCTTAATGGTTCTTAAATTTATTGATGAAAAGATTTTTTTTTCTTTTAACCCATTTGAAACATAAATATACACTGTTTTGTGTAACAGATAATCAACAGCCTAAATCTTTGGATAAAGATGAGTTTTTGAGCAATCCGTGTCGCCATAGAGACCAGAAACCGAATTCATCAGAAAAGAAAAATAAAGAGTTAGGTAATAAATGTTAGAAATTGAATATTTCCGGTTTTAGATAATTATTCTTTTATATATTTAACCTGTATAAATAAATGTTGCAGGAAGCAGAGGGCATAGTTTCCTGGTCAGCTTTATCCAAAGTCACAACAAAGGAAATGAAACAAACCGAACAATCGTTGTGACATCAGAAACTGATTTCAATTTAACTGTTTCACTGCCAGAGAGTCAAACTTCGAGTCTGATATCCGTATATAGTCATAGAAATGGAAACATCACCATGAAGAAGTTAGATGTACACTATTCTCTTGTTCCTTTTTACTTCACCCCTGAATATAAAGCTATTATCATCCACACCTCAGTCCCAACATCTGTGTTGTCATATCACGATTATATTTCATCCTCGGGTAGCACAACAGTGTTTCCCATCGACAAGCTTTCAACATCCTACATCATATCAACAGCGACACCGGCACATTACACATTAGACAGTGGAAGTCATTTCACTGTTGCTTCGATAAAAGATAATTCACTTGTTACCATAAAGTTTACTACAGATCATGACATAAATATATTACTCCAAGGAAGAAATTATGGAAGAGGTGACACATTCCATATAATTTTGAACAAGTATCAGACATTTCAAATTGGTATTAAAGCAGATATGTCAGGGACAACGATTACGTCTTCAAATCCTATCGCTGTCTTTGCAGGGAATAGGTGCACCGATGTTGGGTATCATGGAGCCTGCAGCATGCTTATGGAAATGGTTCCCCCAGCTGACAAACTCGACACCATTTTTATTGTTCCACCGAACATTCATAGATACCAATCGCGTGTACGCATTTTAATGACTGCTAAAACTGATATCAAATATGTTACTAAAGAAATCACGACAAGGACTTCTGTTTTGAAAAATCGATTTCTTGAATTTTCTTTCGGCGAACATGAAATAGGTGTTATACATTCTAACAAACCTGTATCAGTTAACAGTTTTGCCGGGGCTTCAAGTAATGCTTTAGTATATGGCGATCCGTTCATGATAACAGTACCCGGAATAAATCAGTATCTCAAAAAATACATAAATTACGTGCCAGATGGATATAATTTTAGCTTTGCTACTTTCATAATAAAAAACGATTCATTAAGAAATGTTCAGATTAACGGGACAGAAATCGATGTAGATAGCTGCCTTTTTCAATCTTCAGTTCTCGTTGGGATATACCTTTACAGTGTTTGTACTGTAAGTGTTCCAAGCGGAGTAATTGACGTTAAAACCTCAGATGGGTCGCAATTTGGTTTTATCGTGACTGGTCAACGCAAAAATGATGGTCATGGCTACACTGGAAATGCACTATTAACCACAACATGTGGAACGTAACAATTAAACAACGCGGCAAAGTTGTAGTAAAAAAAAGAAGCATGTTTTTAAAATCTGAACAAAATTTAAACCTGAATGTCTTCAAATTTGTTTTTATTTATTTGTCACCCGGAGAGGCCTGTTTCAAAAAGCATCACTGTTTCTGCTTTCAAACGTAACGAAAAACCAACTTTTTTTTTTTCAAAATTCATCAAAAACATTGTACATAGGGAGCTTTCGAAAATTAAATATTATCAGTCACACAGATGAAAAAAATTATTCAATGATTTATTCTATGTTATTCTATATCCCCTTCGAATTTTTTGTACTCGAGTAGGAGCGTAATCATATACCGGTTAAAGGCTCCAAATTTACCCCGCATTAGCTTAAGGGCCTCTGATCAGTGAGGGTTATTCATCGTGCCAACAAATACCGTGACACAGAGCCTTCGTTTTTTTAGGTCTCTTCCATACTACCCGAAACTTTCACTTCAACGTGTTGAGCGCTAAGCGAAGGAATAGATTCTACCTATTATCCATCGACTTTGTGACCGTTATTTGAACACAACGTTCCTATTTGAGCTATCATGACAGTCAGACGAAACAGACAACAGACTGTTAATGGAGACCCCTTGTCTATAATGGCGTATTTTGAAGAAAATAAAATATAACTGTATGATACTCACCTATTTGTTCTTAACATCGGAAACACATATTCATACAGAAATTAAAACCATCTTTGGAAAGACTTTTATATCGCGGAATTTCTGTTTCTGTGCTTTTATTCCCTGCCTCACAATGTAAAATGAAATAAAATTTTATATTATATAATGCTTTTAGATTCCCTTTGATCACCAAAAACATTTTTTCACTACTATTATCACGTTGTTTAAGACATTCATTGTATTTTTTCTCTTGACGATGTATACATTTTTTTTCAGATGATGTATACATGATTTACTAAAGATTCTTTTTTGTATATGCTATTCAAGTCTAGATCTATTTTCTTTTTCTCCCATGGTAGAAAAGTGTTTTATAGTGTTAATAAAGTTAATTATCAATTTCTGTATATTCATTAGTAATTAAAAATATATTCCATCTATTATTTCTATTTTACTGGGGGAGGGGGACACATCGCCTTTCCTTTACCTCTATTTTTTCGTGATAGAAACATGTTTACACGTCTGTAAATTGCCCTAGTACATGTATTAAGTTAAATGTTCTAATTTACCAAAACGGACCTTATTAACAGAATCAAAAATAAATATTCAGCCGAAGAAGCATTAGAGTGATTTAGGAGTCATTTACGACTACTGTCCAACAATGTATTCGGGAAGTGGTGTAAATCACACTTGGATATTAAAAACTGCAATGAACATTTGAAAAACATAATCCAACTAAAATTTTCCTTAAATCAATACAATAAAATGTTAATTTTTTTTACAATTTATAAAATACTGCGGCTTTTATTTTACAATAAAAACAACACTCGCAAATATACTTACCTTTTCATTCATCAATTGCAAAACTGAAAAAAAAATCTGGCTTTACACACTAGTACCCTGAAGTTGATTTTAAAAAGATTCTTTAGTTAATGAGTGACAATATTTATGTGATATATGTAGATCAGACCTAGAGGTAATAAAACTTTCTGAGTTCATACACATTGCTCAAATTCAAACTCCATTCTTCAAAACCATTATCACTATCAAAATTTCTCTCTAATCTTCTAAAAAAACTTGAGTACGAGTTAAATTTAGAGAACGGGGTATGATTTAAAACACAGAGTACATGCATAAAAAGTTTTATTACCTCTAGGACGAATCTTCCATGTCCGGTGATCTGTAAAAATTCCTACGGATATTTATTGCACCCTGCTACATATGTTTTAGCAGACCTATTTTTTGTATTTATATGAGATAGAATTTATTTTCAAAAAATCAGCATGAGAAGGAGAATGTACTAGATGTATTATGTGGTCTCATATCGACATTTAAGAAAATAAAATATTATTTTTAGAGTTTCATTGTGGTATGACATGAAGTCGGTCACGCGATCAAATTCCATAACGCCCAAACGACGTTATTGTAGAATTGATCAGGTACCGACTTCATGTCATCCCCAATGAAACTCTAAAAATGATATTTTATTTCTTACATTTATTTTTGACGTTTTTAGTCGTGCTACAAAGAAATATAGGCATTATTTAGACTTTGCTTTGGAAATGCAACATAATGTACAACGTCATGTGACGTCACAATTGAACTTTTCGAAATACCTAGTGCAGTTTGCTTTTCATACTCAAGAAAGGCTGATCATGTTACCAACTGCATGTCATTGAAAATTAAATTTCAATTTAATTAGCATTGTTACACAAGGGAAGACATTAGCAAATGTAAGTACTAAGATTTATCGACAACGTTTTATCAACTAATAATAGATATAATAATTTCCATTCATTTGTCGAAACTATATATCCTAGTGAACATATCATGATGACTGATACACTTTTCAGATTTAAAAATTTTAAAAGAAGTAGACGTTAATGGTAACTCTACTAAAATAGCTGATGAATTCGAATGTAGGTTTTTATAGATAAGCAAGGCTGTTCCACGGACCTCCAGAGTCGCGAAGTAAGGAGTCAATCCTTACGTCGTGGGTTCGAATACCACTGTGGGACATGGAGACCAGTCCTTCGGATTAGACCGTATGAAACGAGGCCCCGTGTCGCAGTAGGTGCTGGCACGAAAAAGACCCCCTATGCTCAAAGGCTAGGTCCTAAGTGGCGACCATAGATAAATAGATGATCATCAGAAAACATCTCTCTATCTCTCTCTCTCTCTCTCTCTCTCTCTCTCTCTCTCTCTCTCTCTCTCTCTCGTGCATTTCTAAACGGTATTGCGCATTCATTTTTGTATACATGTATTCCCTATAGTATCAAGCATTTTTACTGAGTAAGTTAGATTGGTTGAAGTGGATTAAAGAGTGTCATTATCTTTAAACCTTTAGCTTAGGAAGTATGTACTTTGATAACTCTCTGTCAATAAAAATAACTTTTTCACCACGCTATGACCTATAAATGAAGATGTGATTTTTCAGTATAAACGAGAGACAAACACCAACTGAAGGTTAACAATTTTGTCCGTAATATAAGTGTTATTTTTCTGGAATTCAGGATGCATGTACTTATTGTTTTGGAGTTTGTCCACATATCTGCCAAAATGAAAATCATGTTGTTTTCTAGCACATGAGAAAGAATTTTAAAATTGTGCGATTAAAACAATGATCAAGAAAAACAAAAAGAACAAGTTAAACAAGAGTAACGAAAAAATACAGGTTTGGACCCAGGATCATGAAAAGTCAAATTTTTAATCGCCTGTAAAATGTTTATTAATTATTGAAAGAATCTCTAACTTTGCAAATAAAAACACCGCTATAAAGGAATATAAAAAATGTCTACTTGGCTTTATCACAATACTAGTACAAAATGAATATTTTGACTTATGCTTTAAATGTTTCTTGAATCTGAGGGCTTACCTAAGAATTAAGTTATGAAACATCTTAAGCTTATGGTAAAATATTTTTGTTGTTTTCAAAATGTAG